ACTCATTCGATACAAAATTTAGATATTTCAACAATCACAGCCCCACACAACCCCGGTACTCTTGCAGGACTTGCAAGCGACAATGGACTGTAGGCGGAAACTTACGGGATATCCCCGTCGGGGGTAAACCTAGGATTGCCAAGCAACCAAAGGCTTTATCTTCCGGATTTGTCAATTCAAGATGTCAACAGCCACCATTACCATTTGGGCAAGAACACCTACAAAATACACAATTCTTGCTTCCAATGGTTGCCCAAAATTTTCATTCAGCCATGATTCAACAGCCCACAAACTCGCTCGCACCAGTTTCAACACAGAGCTCATATTATTTCAATGGTGAGATTTCTTGTTTGGATGCTGTACAATCTCTGATCCATCCAGATGCACAAATCAATGCTGAAAATGAGTTTATTAATATTGATGGCAAAAAGGGAATCCCGCAGGAATGGAATATTCAGCCCATGGCATCACAAGAACCTTTTTATCAGGGAGTCCCCGGGTGTTTGGGGTTCCACCAAAACTATAATCAAGCCAACAGTGTGCCTCATCCTCAGTTATATGACAATAGTTTGGTACAGCCTACGTGGCCAATGAATTCTTTGCCCCAAGATATACCGACTAACTTAAGCTGGTCCACATCAAATCCTTCTGTGTGTACAAACAACTTCAGGGGAAACACAACAGACCAAGAAATGGACACAACGTCAGTGAATATAGATGAATGGCTTAATTTATCGGACCATGATTGACAGAACCATGTTTCGGTCCAGAGACTAAATTTAATGGGACTATGGTTCGTTAAAATTTTCAACTATGTTTTTGCTTTTTCAATGGAATAAATAAGATATATTTTTGTCTCCTCCATTTTCTATCCTATTTGCATTTATTTCAAGACGAAAAGTTCAGTTATTTTATAACTAGGGGTACAACAAAAATAGATATTTGTGTATAACGAATTTTTGACAGAGATCTATGCACTTAACCAACAAATAGTGTTTGACATAGAGCTAGCCCTTTAGCCAACGGTGATGCACAAGTTGAAATCGACTGTATGTACCAAGAGTGCCATTCAGACACTACCACTGATGAACTGGTTAAGGATAAAAGTCAAAATGGAAAACATGAAAAACTTTGGTGTTCTTGGACATCTCACATAATCACCATTCAGCGTTTTCCAGAAAAGCCTCAACTATTTTCTGAGGGATACGAAGATAGGAGGAAGTAGGCTCAAGAATTGTCATATCTTTAAGATGAGAAATATTGGCCACACACGAGTTGGCGTGCATAATCCTTAATTTCCACGAAAAGACCATTACAATTTGCAAAAGGTCATGCACAAATATCAAGATGGTGCCACGAAAAGACCATTACGTATAAGGATATGTTGTCAAGGGCTTTCAAGATATTGCTGGTACATGAGTTCATTTTCTCTTCTCTTATGCTCAATCTTGATGTCTCACCATGTTCTTCGTTGTTGCTATTCCCATGCATCATTGGCTTCCAGCAATCTATGACAGTTCATCACACAAAAAATCACAAGCTCATAAGCTCTCTAAAATCAACTACACTCCGTTTGGTTGGAAGGACTTTGATAAGCCAGGGCTTACCTTCGATGAATTGAGCTTCAACTAAGCTCTAGGAGCTCTTTGCTATTATTCCTCCTATGGCTGTTCTTGCCTTCTTCTCCTTCATTTATCTATTGCAATATTTTCTTTATAAATTACACTCTTAAGGTATTTTACAGTGTTAATTTACGGTATTTTACACTGTAAGAAAATATATACTTCGCATATAATGTTTATTATCAATTTTTATTAGTATTCACTAGACATGAAGCTTATTTAACCATTAAAAATATGATTATAAAATACTGAAAAAAATACCAACATAAATATTATTACTCCAAGGATTTATTTTTGTATAATTTGATATTTTTCAGCTGACCCAGTAAGAGTGCGGTAAGTTTTGTCGAACACCTTTAGTTAAATAACAATCAACTAACCTTTCAACTAACAGTCAATTTTGTCGAACACCTTTAGTTAAACACCAATCAGCTAACTTTTCAACTATCCCCTAGCTTTTCAATTATTAACTTTGTCTACTAAATATACCCCTAACAATAATTTGGCTTAATTGATCATGATTCATCTTAAGCCATGATGATCATCCTTGCAGCAAATTCCTACTTGGAATGCAACTAAGAAAAAATAATTACAATCTCAATGCAGCTCTAAATTATCAACCACGTCAAAGATAAATACTAATTTGAGGTTCAAAAAATGCAGTATTCAATTCAAACTATCAAGGCTAGGCTAATGTCATTGATCACCACAAAAAATGCAGGAATCGATATCGAAATCGAAATCGAAACAGATGCTAGAATCCATATGAGTTTAAGCAAAATCCATGGCAACAAATTGATTTCACATATTCAATTTAAGACTACATACATACATACACACAACCGTCGTTCGCATGTAATATGAAACCGCCATGAAACCTCTGGAGTTCTGGTACTGTCTGGTCTCGAGTATACATCAAAACGCTTACAAAATCGAACAATTATAGATCAATTCAAAAATATTATAATTTTTTTTTGGCGGAAAAGTGAAGAGCAAAAATACTGACGAGCGTGAAAAGGGATTTTCAACTGACATTTTCACTTAGGCCTTAGGCTATGTTTGGTTCAAATGAGGGGAGGGGATGGGAGGGATTTTAGTGGAAGGGAGGGGAGGGGAGAGGAGGTGATGTAAAATGATTTTACCTTGTTTGGAGGGATTTTGTAGGAGGGGAATGGAGGAAAATAGTTAACCTTGTTTGGTTAAGAAAATGGAGGGGAAAGAAAATAGTGTTGAAATGACAGTTATACCCTTAATGATGTAAGTAAAAATTAAAATATTTTACATATGAAGGACAAAAAAGTAATTTTACAACTTAAAATTTTCCCTCCCCTCCAAATTCCCCCACTTTTGGAGGGGAGCAAATTTGGGGAAGGGGAGGGATTTTAACTTAAAATTTCCCCTCCCTCGTAAATTACAAACCAAACAAAGGAAAATTAAAAAATCCCCTCCCCTTCCTTCCCCTCCCCTCCAAATCCCTTGAACCAAACACTATGTTAGTCTATGGTAGAGCTGGGGCCTTGATGACATCACTTTGTTGGTCTCCAGGGA